GGGCAATGCAAAAGATGCAAGAAGCAGACGTTCTAAGAAATCATTATTAATACCACCTATACCCAGCATTAGCCTTTCAATGTTAAACAGTGACACTGCACACACCATTGAATTTTATTGCATTTTGGAGATTGTGACAATCCCGATTATGATCATAGAGCTTTGTAAACTTGCCACATACAGGACATGTTATCCTGTAATAATGATTATCTCAGGTTAAGCACAGACAAACAATAGTGGGACATACTTAGACATTGTATAGGATCAGATAATAAGAGTGGTTGAGATGACTTTGATGTAAAAGCTTGAAATTCTGGCAGCTAGAGATAAGCAAGTAAAGTCCCTGTAGTTTGAGAAGTGTGCTGTGTGCTGTGTCTGACTAGAGATTGTGGTGGCAAGAGACAAGGAGCAAGAACTTCAAAGCTATGCAAAAACTCGAACTTGGAACAAACAAATAACAACAAACAAATGCAGTGTGGGAACTTTATCTAGGGATCTGGCTTCCCTCGGGACTTGGGCAGTTTCAATAGATTTTGTTTTGTGGAAACATGCATGATTTCTATTCTACATTACATACTAGTATACTAGCATGTCGGACATGTCATACGCGCAGCGGTTGCGGGTGCGCGAGCGGCTTTCGGGGATGGCGGGTGACAAAACAAAACTCAAAACAAATCATAACAACGGAACGACGCAAGCGCGTTTGAAAGCGCTTCCGGCGTCATGTTCCTACCATCCAGGGGACCCAGGAACACCCGCTTTTGAAGCGGCGCGTTGAGTTTGGATGTCGGCGCGAAGGTCGCCGTCGGGGAGGGCGACGGCGGCGATAACGGCGGCGGCGGCGGTCGAGGCAGTGGACGGCGGCCACTCACGCTGCCTACAGGGTATAGGAGACGGGGGATGTTAGTTGGGGAGGGTGGTGGAGTCGTGCGGGGCCGGCGAGAGGTCGGGAGTGGGCAGGTTGGGAGGACGGGACAAAAGATGAAATAGAACATCGACAAGGGCGAACAATTACTTCGTTCGCCTCTCGCCGACGTCCTGGCACTGATAGCAGCCAGGAATGGCCGCTTGTCCGTAGGCAAACGGCCGGGGGAAGCGGGAAGGGAGGGGTAGGGGGTGAGGGCAGAGGAAACACAATTTCGAAGGTTATGGCAGAACGGGTGCACAGATCTGTGCACCCCTTTCTGCCACACCTTCCTGGAGTAACCCCCAGATGTATTCGACATCGAACACCAAAATGCGGGCGCGTTCTGATGTTCGACGTCGGACGATGCACGCGGGGCGACGGCGGCGTCGACGGCGTCGACGCTCGTCTTACGGCTCAAACCAAACCTCCTCGCGCTAGCGAAGCACAAAGAGGTTGGGTCTGAGCCAAAGACGCGCGGCTGGCGCCTCCGGGCTCGCCGCAAACCCGGGTTGTAGGCAGGGGGACTGAGCCCCGGGTACGAACATGAATAACTCGACGACGAGACCGCGCGCCGCTATCGCGCGGGTCTCGTCGTCGTCCTAACTCCTCAAGGAGTCAGGAAATGGACTCCCATCCGAAGATGAGGGGCCAGGGAAGCAGGGAGGAAGGGGGAGGAGGAGGGGTTTGAAAAACAGAAAAATCGAAATAAAAGAAGAACGGCACTGCGAACTTGCGCGGTGCCGGTTTCGTTCGCTTCCTAGAATCGAGGAGAGTCGGCAACAACATCGAAACACATAACGCGGCAGCGTTTTGCGTTCCGATGTCGGGAGGACGGGTGGTGGAGCGGCGGCGCGTATAGCGGGTCTTGAGCGGTCGGGACAGCGGGGATTCGTCCAAAACACAAGGGACAACCTCTCAGAAGGTCGTCCACCTGTAAGAGAACATATCCGAGCCAGCATGACCTGCCCGCGAACGAGCGCGAGGCGGACATGCCAGCCCAAGCATCAAATGATAAAACATCGAAAATAAGTGAAATGACTTACCTGGTGCCCTTGTCCTCAGCTCAATGACCCTCCACCAGTTGTATCCACCATATGCAAGGTCCATCCCTGTCTTGAGGAAGGGCGGCGCTGGCGTCGAGTATGTCGAGAGCGTGTAGGGAGCGAGACGCGGACTTAGCGTCTCGCGCGCGTTCGGCTGTTCCCGAGCTGCCTCGCTCAGGCTGTAGGGCACTAATTACAGCAAGTAAAATAATACTGCAGGGTTTTACATGGCCTCCGAATGCAATAATAGACATTAGAATGTATTAAGTGTAAAGAGAAAAATAAAAAAAGGAGGAAGGAAAGTAGAAGGAGAGGAATAGGAGAGGGTGGGAGGATCAGGGTAGCCTTAAAGGCCCGTAGCCTCGACAGCACTGGCGCGGATCGAACTAGCGACGTTGCCTCTATACCCAGAATCCCGGGCTCACTGACCGTTACACCATGTACGGTTATCAGCCAGGCACATTCATTCATTATATACCGTCTCGGGTTCTACTTGAGCTATAGTACTGGCCACTGATTCTTGTTCGTGGTATTGCCACTGCATGGGTGGATATAAAATATTGCAATGTATGCTACATTACATACTAATCTATGGAGGCCTTGGATATGGTATATTAATCGTGATACGAGGACGCGCCCGAGGTTGGGAAGGGCATGTGACCCAGTCAAGAGAAAATAAAAGATAAACAAATAAGTACTCAGCTGAATGCTGAGATGCTTACAGTCTCCTGTTCCTACGAGGTGCGCAATCCAGAATCACCCCGCGTCTATGCGGGGCGATGCGTTTCGTTGTCGGCGCAATAGAGGATGTCGGGGACGGCGAGCAGACATTCGCGGCGGCGGTGGGGGTCGGGGAAGCAAGCCACACTCGGAGAGCATGGGTGTGGCGTGTATAAACATGGCCCCGTTGAAACGCGCGAGGTCGCGCACTCTCCGGGGCCGGCGAGAGGGGTGTACATGGAAGGGGGAGGAGGAGGGTAGAAACAATTCGATAGAATATTTAGTACTTACCTGACAACAAAGGCGCATCAGGTATCCTATTACTATCCCTCCTGCGATCCAGAAACACCCGCAGCTATTGTGGGGCGGTAAGATTTGATGTCGGTGCAAAGGGTCCGTCGGGGAGGGCGACGGAGGCGGCGGCGGCGGCGCCAGCGGGCGGGAGAGCACGCGGTGGCCGGATGCGCTTCTCGAGGAGTGTAGGGGATGAGAAATCTTGAGTTCCAGGTGTTTCTGGGCGATCCGCGGCCGGGACGGGCTTGTGAGGGGAGAGGTGGGGTGGAGGACAACAAAAAATGAGAAACAACGTCGACGAGGGCGAACAATTGCGTCGTTCGCCTCTTGCCAACGTCCCGGCATGCGTACAAGCCAGGGAAAGGCGTCCGCTTGACAGCGGACGGCCTGGTGAAGGAGGGATGGGCGGGGAGGGTTCGGGAAGGGTAAAATAGAAAACCGAAGATTGTGGCAGAACAGGTGCACAGATGTGTGCACCCCTTTCTGCCACAGCTTCGTGTAGTGGTCCCCACCAATAAATGACATCGAACAACAGAACGCCGGTGCGTTCTGTTGTTCGACGCCGGGCGACGCGCGCGCGGGGACGTCATCGTCGACAGCGTCTACGGTCGTCCCACAGCTAAGAACGCACCTCCTCGTGCTAGTGTAGCACAGGAAGGTGCGTTCTGACCCAAAGACGCCTACCTGGCGACTTCGGGTCCGTCGCAGACGCCGGGTGTAGCAAGGGGGGGATGGGCCGTGTAGAAACGGCCATAACTCGACGACGAGGCGTCGCACACTCCAGGCGTGTGTCTCGTCGTCGTCCTGACTCCCAGAGGAGTCAGGAAACGGCCTCCTATCCAAGGATAGGCGACCAGGGAAGCAGCGAGGGAGGGGAGGGGGAGAAGGTGTGAAAAACAGAAAAAACGAAATTCAACAACAACGGCGCCGCCGATTTGCGCGGCGCCAGTGTCGTTAGATTCCTATACTCACGACGAGTCGGGGGCGACATCGAAGCCGAGAATGCGACGGCGTTCTGGGTTCCGATGTCGGGGGGACCGCGAGGGGAACGGGGTGCGCGTGGCGATGTTGGGGCGATTGTACGCGTCTGGGCTGCTTCCACATCGAAGGTACAACCTATTAGAAGGTTGTAAACCTGTAAAACAAAGGTTTGGGCCCAGCACGACCCGCTCACGACGAGCCGTGAGGCAGGCATGCCAGCCCCTCCTATCAAACAACAAAACATCGAAGTTGAGTTGATTTGCTTACTGGTTTCCCTTAGCCTCTGCTTCTCCCCACTTTGTATGTCCATCCCAGGCCTGAGGAAGTGGCGGCGGCGGTGTCGAGAGTGTCGACAGCAGGCAGAAGCACAACGCGGGACTTCGCGTCTCGCGCGCGTCGGCTTGTCTCTGAGGCTGCCTCGCTCGGGCTCTAGAGCATAAAATAGTGTCAGTAAAACATGGCTTCCGGGGTTTTCATACCCGCGGATTACGATGAGGTGGTTAGCGAAGCGCGACAATGTGTGTGTCGACGTCCGCGAGTGACTTTGCACGACGGCCACCGCCGCCGGCGCGCTCGGTGGCTGTGCTACCGCTGTAGGCAATCGTCGTCGATGTTCAAGCAAATGAAAAATTCTCGTCCCCTCCTCTCTCTGTCTCTCTCTCTTCCAACTACTAGCATAGTGTTAGAATTCGAGTATTTGATAGTTTACTAGATAGCCTGTAATGTCTGAGTCACTTACACCTCCCCCTCCTTCTCCTGCTGTTTCTGAGGCTGAGTTGGACTCTGGAGCTGTTGCTCCTTCTAACCCTGGCTCTCCGCTGTCTTCCCCACCTGTGTCTGATGCTCCCCTGCCTGCTCCAAATGCTCCTGTACCAGCTCCACATGCTCCACCCCCTCCACCTGCTGGCAATGCTCCCCCACCTGCTCTCCGACGTAGCCGTCGGCACAAACGGGAGATGCCTGTTGTGATTCGCAGGTCCCGCGATAACACCCCAGAGGACGAGGTGACTCCACCTGTGGATCCTGCTCCTGTGGTGCCTACTGCTGGCACCGTAGACCCTCCTCCTGGAGTTGCGCGCCCACCCCATGTCCGTAAAGAGCCACCTGCCCCAGTACGGTCCAAGGTGATCAAGCC